TATTGAGATTTTTAGCTTTTCAGCGGGCATGCTACGGCCGAGAAAGAACAGGCAGCGTTTATTATGAAATTGTACAAATCAGCATGCGGACTTTTATCTCTATATATCAGTGTTGGCTTTCACTTTTCCGCCCGCGCCGATTCTTAATAATTGTAACACAGCTTTATGGTTCGGATAAACGTCGTCGCATTTATTTTTCGATAACGTAGTATGATATCGCTGCGTGGTTTTCACAACTGTAGATGACTGGTCTTATGATATCTTTGTTGACACGCACGAACTTTCTTAGCGACACGTACACGCCCGACGTTGTGAACGGCCGGTGACAGCCGCATGCTTTTCCCGCTTTCTTGTGTGATTCACATAAAACAACTATCCATAAGCTGACGCAAATCCGAGACGCCGTGACCTCGGTACGCAGTCAGGCAAGCCGCACGTGATGGCCAGGCGGAGTGTAGGGCAGTACGGCATGGAACAGCATAAATCTAACAGTTATACCACGTTAGCTGCACAATTATACCCAGTAGTAGCGCCTTTCATGTGCCATAGAACCGCAGCCAGTATGGACGCCTCGGAGCATTCGCTCTTCTGGCAGCATCCTGACTGTTGATGCGCCTATTGGCTCGTTTTGTCCGTCATTTGTCGCATGCGTCTATCTGATCATTAAGCGTGAACCTTGTTTTAAATAATCCTCTGAGTAATATCATTGGCGACTATGGTAAAAATAATTCGTCACTGTCCATGTGAAGGTTTTGAGAAAAAGGAACTGTGGGAGAATCTCCCGCCCACGCCTATATATGGCATGGTAACAATGCGAGCATGCGCAAGCGCGCAACACACACGCACGCACGCATGCACGCACGCACATAGCACACGCCAAGCACGCACGCACGCACAACACGCACGCGCCACACAAACGCGCGGCGCACGGCACACACACAAGCACGCGCGCAGACACATACACACACGTGCGCGCGCACACACACTCACGCACACACACCCACAGCACACACACACACACACACCACAACGCGAACACACACACACACAAACACAAACACAAACACGTGCGCGCGCACACACGCCTACAGCGTGGCAGGATGAATCAAAATACATAGCCGTAATGCGTCTGAATAGATAGATGCGTCTGAATACAATGACAAAACCACCATGGCGTGAAGATGCAAGGATGACGTGAATAAAGACATAATTACATTGGGAACGCGTGAAAGAAAGGCACGAACTGACTCTACGATGCGCATGTACGCTGCACTACCCCATGTAGAGTCGACTAGCTTATTGTTTGATGGCACGGCGCTATGTGGCATTCGTGAATCCCATAATATTATAAATGTCCCATCTTGCTGCATTCGATAAAATTTACTTCTACTCACAAAAATATTAGAACGTCAACTATTACGCGTTGTAATGTGTAACTTCGTCGTTATACTATCATCAGGAGTGAATAATAATAGATAACCTATTATTATTCACTCCTGCTATCATATATCACTACTCTAACACTTAGTGAATCTTGCGTAAAGTACTATGTCTAGTTACTATATTAAAGATAAGATAAAATATTAAGATCAGAAACTGGCCAGGCATTCACTCTATTGATATTCATGTATAGAAGGATGCCATACAAACACGGGTGCATCTTTTCTAAGACCGAAAAACACTTAACATTCGCCTCGCCTAATATTCATTGATGTTTAATACATATAGATATATTGCGCAAGCGTTAAATATTGCCTCCCGATATTACGCGCGCGCGCTGCAATCCCGTTTTCATTGAGTAAAATGTGTAAATGGTTGTCATGGCAACACGCTCGGCATGGAATTGATCGCCGAGCCGACGGCGCAGCGCTGAATATCGGCAATGTTAATCCTGATGGAAATGAATTCTCTTGCAGCTAATGATGAATGACTAAAGAATATAGCGAGCGCGCTGCTAATCTACGTATATACAAAAAAGTAAAAGTTTTATTACACGAGTCTTCTGAATTTTAATACAACTGGGGAAAATGGACGACGTTGTAGTAGTCGAAGTGTGTTTAATTAAACGCTGAAACACTTGTAGCGACATGCTTGAGTTTTACGATGTAGATATTAGTTTGGAACTTATCGAGCGTTATCGTTGCCTACATAGTTTGAAATGTATATTGTGCAAGCGTTAGAAATATAGATTGCTTGCTCACCACACAGCCCCGCCATGTCCATCTTGGGCAGGTTGCGTGCCTTCAGCACAACCACTGTCAAACGGTTTGCTGCCGGCTGGTAACAAAGTGACACCAATAGTTCTCCTCTGCTTTGACAACGGATCTGAAGAGAAAATGCAAAACTCCGCGTATAATCAATGCTCGATGATGTTTGTCTCGCCGTCACGACCACGTACGAGGGCTACCTCATAGGTTGTATACATCTGGTTCGGTCGCCGACACAGAGGTGGGATGGAGTAATACGGAGACAGCGTGGCAGAAGAACTAGTCATATATGATATCGGGAGTCTATAATATACACTAGGAGGCTCTATTATACACTCCTGATGATATGACATCAAATTGGGTTGCAGTGATAAACTGCTAGTACGTATCAAAAAGCTTTACGATTGTTAGTTCTTCTTCAGTTACACGTGACTGCAAAAATAAAGTTTACCACCGATACATGACTGCATTCGCTTCCATTAGATTTTTAGGCTTTCAGCCATGCTACGGCCGAGAAAGCAACAGCACGTTTATTATGAAATTGTACAAATCAGCATGCGGATTTTATCACTATATATCAGTGTTGGCTTTCACTTTCCGCCCGCCGAGTTCTTAAATAATTGTAACACAAGCTTTATGGTTCGGATAAACGTCGCTCCATTTATTTTTCGATAACGTAGGTATGATATGCTCGTGGTTTTCACGTAACCTGTAGATGACTGGTCTTATGATATCTTTGTTGACACCACGAAGCTTTCTTAACGACACGTAACACCCCCCGACGTTGTGAAACGCCGGTGACACGCAGCATGCTTTTCCCGCTTTCTTGTCGTGATTCACCAAAAACAACTATCATATAGCTGACGCAAATCCGAGACGCCCTGACTCGGTACGCAGTCAGGCAAGCCGCACGTGATGGCAAGGCGAGTGTAGCAGTACGGCAGGGAACAGCAATAATCTAACAGTTATACCAGTTAGCTCACAATTATACCCAGTAGAGCGCTTTTCATGTGCCATAAGCGCAGCATATGGACCCTGAGCAGTCGCTCTTTGTACATCTGACTGTCGATCCGCCTATTGCTCGTTTGTCCGTCCATTTGTCCATCCGTCTATCTGATCATTCAACGTGAACCTTGGTTTTAAATAATCACTCTGAGTAATATCAATATCGATATGGTAGAAATAATTCGTCACTGTCATGTGAAGGTTTGAGAAAAGGGACCTGTGGGGAATCTCCCCCCCCCCCACGCCTATATATGCATGAGTAACAATCCGGACGCATGCGCAAGCGCGCACACACACACGCACGCACACACACACGCAAGCACGCACGCACGCACACACACACGCA